GTAAAAATTTCTGCTAAAGAAAAGAATCTGGTTTGCATCACTATCTCAAAGGCAAGACTTTCTTGCTTTCCACATCCCTCTTCCTGTGTTCCTCCTTAGTTCTTCTCCAGTTCCCCAGACAGGGTCTGCCTTCTCTGAGCAAATCCCTTCTCAAGAAAATCATACGAGCGTTAAACCATCCTTTAAAGTTTGTATCATTCTACCACATAGTGAGAGCTGGACAGACGGCTCTTGCAGCCTTTTCACTGCACTGCAGGAGTATTGCCAAGCTGACCGTCTCCTGTCATCCTTCAGCGCTCCCACATTAACCATTCTGGTTTCGGAGAGCAGCACTGCAGCCCCCAGCCCCCCCTCGGCACCACCACCTTCCCCTCGGCTCAGGAGCTGGTGTGCAGGCTGGAGGGGGAGGATGGGGGGGTCCCCTCCCTCCCGGAGCCCCCTCGGCAGAGGGAGAGGGGAAACTCGCCCAGCGCTGCAGCCTGCCCGAGCCACCGCGGCCCCTCGATGCCACGGGAGCTGTGCTGCCAGAAGCACTTGCACAGCAGCATCTCGCCAAAAACATCCTTAGATCTTACGATGAGACTCTGAAAAAAAAAAGAGCGTAAATGCCTTGCTGCGCCCAGCTGCAGGCTAGAGGTCTTTCACAAATAGGGTGCTTATCGGTCCAAGTCCAAGTGAGACACGGCCCTGGCTGAAAATGTCACCCTTGATGTCATTCACTTTCTTTCCAAAGACCAGGCTGGTCCAATCCTTCACCCCAAGACTGTGGGCTGGTGCAAGTAGGAAAAAGTTACAGAGGAAAAAAAAACACAGCTGAGCCCTGCCAAAACCACCAAATACAGCTGCCAAAGGAGCTATGTGGAAGGTAGAACAGTACCTGCTCTGCTGTAGTTTATCTGTCCTTCGTTCAGTCCATCTCATGGATCAGACTTTACTGCTTGATTTAAATAACTGCATAAAGCAAAGATTTAGCCAAAGCTTTCTCATGAGCTTGAATCTTCATAGGCTTCCTTACGCAGTACCTTGGTCCGGGACTGTCTCTCACTACGACTGTGAGAATATTAGGTGTTCTCCAGCAGAATCATGGTGCATCCTTACGCAGCCCTCTATGCACTGGGCAGTAAAGGAATTAAAATGCTGCATTTCTGGACCCTCTTCACCCCCAGTGCTGGCTCCTGGAGATCTTGATGTCTCTGTATTGCAGGAAAGGCTTTAAAATTCAATCAGTTAATTTTATCGAGCATTATAAAATGCGGCTGTAACATGAGAGTGTCTAAGGTGATAAAGTCTTATCCTTCCTGGGTTAAGATGTTAGCTAAATGGTTGATGCTATGCTGCAACTAGAAAGGCTTTTTGCACTAACTAGAGAAGCATCCCAAGCAGCTATTTAATTGGTAGAATAATACTCCTTGTGCTAAATTCTATTTTATTGTTTAGCAGACATCGGGAGTGACACATTTAGCAGAACATGTGAAAACCTTGCAAAAGAAATACTTCAAACATGTTTAACAATTGAAGCATGGCAGTCTCCATCAAAACCAGAAGACAGCTTAGAACTTCACAGGCAAAAGTGTTTCATTGGAAGCCACCACCAGTAGCTTTGGTGCAATGGAATCAGAGGAATGTGGTGTGCAAAAGGTGTTACCATTTTGCAGATAACAGTATAGTGATCAGTGTGGACTGCCAGAAAAAGGTAAAAATATTTCTTTGCTACTAGGAAACAGTCTTACCTGCAAACACAGGGACTGTGATAAATTCCAGAATTATTCTACAGGAAAACAACCATAAAGGTGGAGAAAAACAAGAACAAAAATCAGTAGCAGAATAACAGAAGAGCAGTTGATGATGAAGAGCTACTCTTATCGGCTGGAGTCAAGAGAAGATGAACGCCAAAAAATGGTAACTTTTATGTACCTAAGCTAGCAAAGGAAACGGGTGTTACAACTGGCTCCTATGACACAGGATCACAGGAGAAACAACCGCAAAACATTGGCACCAAACCCCAAACAATTATTTGTGAAACTAGAAGCCGCAGGAGTTGAGAAACAACAGATGGGAAAGGTAAATGGTCTCCATTCAGAATCTTCCTGGAAAGCAAAACTGGGTGAGAAAAGATGAAGCCAAACGGAAAAGTAAAATGAAAATAAGGGGACATGACTCGTTGACTATAAAATTTAATTTGCATCCAAGATTAGAATCCAACCAGGGGGACCGTCCTGTAGTGCACAGCTGGAATAGAAAATCAGTCACCCGCACAAGGAACTGCTGAAGGAAATCTGTGGCTTTGAAAACACAACTGATGAAAACAGAAAGAAAAATAAAGCAGATCTCTTGTGCAATCATCAATTAGCACATGCTCATGAAGATGAAGAGGTTTACTCCAGAAGCGTTGCTCTGTGTGTTGTGACAGGCAGCCATTACCTGGGAGCAAAACCACAGGACGCGCAGTTATTATTATCAATAGTGTTAGCTGCACAAAAACTGTCAGAAGGCTGCAGTGTCTCAGTAGCTGATGTTTATCGTCCTTTCCACAGTATTTCCGACATAAGAAGGATGAAGGGTCCAAAGGCAGAAGTCCTAAAGAACAAAACCACCTTACCTCTGTCCTCATCCCCTGAGACTGTAAGAAATCTCTCTCCTATTTTCAATCCTGAATTGCAGAATTTATTTCCCACAGAGGGAAATGAATGTGATGTGATGGAGGCCACAGGATTACATGTGCAGAGACATTTAAAAAAGGAAAGAAATATCAATTCTTCTTCAGGTCTCACTAATGAGACAGGAGTGTTAAAGAGCTCAGAATTAAAAACCCTAGCATTGAATTGGGTAGGGAGTGAGGACTAGTTTTTGAAAATGCAGCACAGTACTTCAGCCAAAGCCAGGAATATAAAATCCAGAGCAAAAATGTAACTATAGTAGAAATGTCAAGGATTTGGGAAGCACATGAAAATGTTCACAATGAGGTCTGCCTGTTGTAAATCCTGTAATTAAGCTGCTGTGGCCCAGGTTTCTACAAAGAACGGTACAATTTCAACACAAATGAACGCTGTTCCCTGTTAGAGTCACCAAGTTTACATTTGAGTATTCTGGTTAACAGGCAGTTAACTAGAAGTAAAAAGAAGACATTGATATTGCAGACAACCTGAACAGAACTGATAGCACTAGGGAAGATGAAACATAACTAAAGAAAAAGAGGAAGTACGTTGAAAACATTATTTTTCAGACACACAAATAATCTCAAATACCAAAACAGAAAATATGCTACAGATTTTGGATAATGTGAAGAGCAAAATATATCGACACTGAAAAAAAAAAAAAAAAAAAAAAAAAAGTGCCAGGTTACACCTAGTACAGCCAGCATCCTCAGTCTTACTGAAAATAGAAATATATTACCCGGCAGTGACACCAGTCTTCAAATTGACAGTGCTATGTATACAGAATACATGTGGGATTTGCAGGACTTGAAAAACAATCAACCTTATCAAGACAACAATGAACTCGAAGAAGCTGAAATGTCACTGGAAGAACGTGAATAGGCTTTGTGACCAGAATTAGGAGACAGTAGTTTTGAGGCATAAAATGAGATGTCTTTAATTCCTTGCAGAATAAATGAAGCTGAAAACTCCACTAGAAAAGCTACATTATACCCACCGTCTGTGGAATATGCCAGTGCATCACCTCTGGAAGCAAAAGAAAGTGAGGAGAACACCTGTCACGACAGCGCTCTTTTTCTTTCTTCAAATCTACAGACAAACTTCCCCAGCTCTCCTGAAAGTTATTAGCATCATTGTGGTGGATTTTATAATGGAAAGAATCAGACAGGAACCACATCTGGTTGTGTCAGAGACAAACAACAACACAGAACATAAGCAGGAGGAAGATAAACCATGACAAGTTCGCTGATCGGAGCATCCAGTGATCTTTATGGCCTTGGACATCTTGCATGAATTTTATTTAATGCAAAAATTTACATTTACAGTTCTCAAAATCACGTCTGCTCTCTGTAACGTACAGGTTGCAGTACTTAGAACATTTCCGTGCTTGGCTCATTACTGTTTGCTTGAGGAAAAGTACAAAAATCTTTTTTTATACCTGCATCTATTAAGTTCTACCGCAATTTCGTGTCCCTCCCTCAGTTTTCTGGTCTCCTTTCCCTCATAAAGCACAGGCACCCGCTCACTAACGCTGCTGGCGGCAGGGACTGACACCTGGCTCCCTCCAGGGCAGGTCCCTCCCAGCTGCTTTTAAGATCCCTGGGTGGCAACCCCATCACCAGTCACTGCGTGCTCCCCAGGCGCTTCCCTGGAGCTGCTGCTCGGAAACTGAATTTTAACACAGGAGGGGTTCTGAGCAGATCCAAAATGTTCCTAACTCTTTATTTCCTCACTTTTCAAGCCCGTGGGTCTGAAAATTTATCGGTAAAAGATCACCTTATGAGGACTAGTCTCCTGGACCAGGCAATGTGTCCTCACTGGTCTTACCTATCCTGCGTTTGAGAGGAGAAAAATGGATTGCTCTAAAAACCAAGAAACACAGTGATAAGTAAACATATAGGTTTTTTCATGGAACGCAAATGCACAAGATCAGTACACAGAGATTATTTTATAGCAGCTTAAGAAATAAGCCCCACAAAACAGTGAGAAGTTCTGGGTGTCATGAAGTGAGAGCAGTTGCCGGGAAGAAGAAAGAGGCCCCAGGGTTTACAATTTGGCTCCTCTTTGTGACGGGATGGATGTTACTTTTCACATGGAAAAAATCAAGAATTCGTAGAAAACACCTGCAAAAGCCTGAGAGGAACAAGTGTTTTTCTACTCAATAACAGCTCAAGTCGTGATCGAAGTTACGTAATTACTCAAAGCTTCGTTGAATGACTAGAGGTCGCTTTCCTCCCCTCTTCAGTTCCCCACCCGCAACCCACCGCCACCCACGAGGGGACCCCCCCCCCCCCCGGCCGCAGCAGGAGCCCCGCGTTCCCACCCGCGTGGGGTGGGGGCACTCACCTCGGGACAGGCGTTCCAGCCCCTCATCAGCAGGGCGGAGATGGGCTGGGGGACCGAGTACCCCAGGGGCGGGCGGAGGTGGTGGTACGCCATGTCGGCCGCCGCCGCCGCTGCAACGAACAGCCCCACAGACAGCCGTTAGCACCCGCGCCCACAGCGGTCCCGCAGCACGGCCTGCCCACGGCCGGAGCGCCCCACGAGAGACGTGCGCGGCTGGGGGAGGCTGCCCACGGCCGGAGCGCCCCGCGAGAGACGCGCGCGGCTGGGGGAGGCTGCCCACGGCCGGAGCGCCCCGCGAGAGGCGCGCGTGGCTGGGGGAGGCCGCCCACGGCCGGAGCGCCCCGCGAGAGACGCGCGCGGCTCGGGGAGGCCGCCCACGGCCGGAGCGCCCCGCGAGAGACGCGCGCGGCTCGGGGAGGCTGCCCACGGCCGGAGCGCCCCGCGAGAGACGCGCGCGGCTGGGGGAGGCTGCCCACGGCCGGAGCGCCCCGCGGGAGACGCGCGCGGCTGGGGGAGGCTGCCCACGGCCGGAGCGCCCCGCGGGAGGCGCGCGCGGCTGGGGGAGGCTGCCCACGGCCGGAGCGCCCCGCGGGAGGCGCGCGCGGCTGGGGGAGGCTGCCCACGGCCGGAGCGCCCCGCGAGAGACGCGCGCGGCTCGGGGAGGCTGCCCACGGCCGGAGCGCCCCGCGAGAGACGCGCGCGGCTCGGGGAGGCTGCCCACGGCCGGAGCGCCCCGCGAGAGGCGCGCGCGGCTCGGGGAGGCTGCCCACGGCCGGAGCGCCCCGCGAGAGGCGCGCGCGGCTGGGGGAGGCTGCCCACGGCGGGGTGTTTGGAACGGCAGCGAAGGCGGCCCCACGGCCCTGAACCGAAGCGCACTGCTGCTGAGGCGGAGCGCGGGTGAAGACAACCCAACTCCGCTTAAACTCGAAGAGGAAAAGAAAAAAAAAAAAAAAAAAGCCTTTTGGGGGAAAAAAGTGAGCTAACCTTCAACTTGCCTTTGAAAAAATTGAGTATTGGCATTATTAAGACAGGGTGACAAGTCTACTCCAGCTGCAGATAAATTGGGAAGAGACCCGGATCTCTTCAAATAACCCACGGCTAGCTGTGTTACAGCCCAAGACAAAAATTTATTCTAAGTATTTCTTTAGTAAAAAACTAGCGAGTGCCTTTTTTATAAGGGCAAGCCACTACTGGCTGAGACAAAATTGCCAAAATGTTTTCCTAATCGGGTTTACATGTTCAGTGAATACAAATACATGGTTAATACCTCTCATTCCTCCTGAGCAAAATTTTTTCAAGTCAAAACAAAGGTATTTTTAACTCATATCAAAAGCTAAGTAAAATCCTTTGTTTGGCTGACACTTTAAAATGATGTGATCAGAATATATGAGATATGCAGGGAACTCTAAGATTGAAACCATGAGATTGTAACAAGAATGGTGTGGGTCTTTTAAACCATATCCCATTCTCATCACAGTATTCATCAGAAGAATAGATTAATGTCAGCCATTGTCTGCCCTCTGTGCAGATTTTGTCTGTATAATGGTGTTTCAGAACGTTAGTACCAGATAAATCCTGTGATATTGTAACTATGTGTAGACAAGAGGGGCAAACACAGTTTGCCTAATTTTGATTCCCCTATAACAAGGTTTTGAAGGCAGGACTCAGATACCAGCAGATTCATCTTTTGCCTAGCAGATACTGTGAAAACAGGGCAAATGCAGACCAGATTAAGACAGCAATGAAAAACACTCCATTTTTTTTTCTGCAAAAGGTAGCGTAAGTGGTATGTTACCTATTGACAAAATCTCATTTTACTAAAGTTAATAGGATTTATTCCATCAATTTAATGGTGTCAGGGTTAAAAAAAGAGAGGGAGAAACACACTGTGTGCCACTGTATACTTCCATAATACTTTACGTAGTTTGTTTGGGTCGCTATTATTTGGGCTCTCCTTTCACTATCAGTAGGCTTTTTCTTCAGCTAAAAAAAAGTATAGCTGGTAAAAAGTATTTTAGATTGGCTGAATTACATGACAAGAGTCCATTCTTCTCAAGAATGAATCAAACAAAAAAGAGTTTGGGTGGGCCCCAAAGCTCTGAGCTTAGTGATGCTTTCCAGATCTACTGTGTGATATCCTTGAACCTCTGAGTGTTTTCTGGTTTGACTGGTTGGTGAGATCCTGCCTTTCTTCTGGCTCAGAGCACCTATAAAGCCATGAGAGGAATCAGTGACCACCTACCTACAAAAAGGGTAATTTCAATTTGTTCTTGTTTATGGATCAGGGGAACAACTATAGTAACTGAAGAATGTTAATCAACACCTGTACTGGGTACCTGTATGTTTATATATTACACATATCTGTCTATGTATACATATGTTGAAGTTTATATAACATGCCCTTTCCTTCTGCAAGCGTCACCTTCGCATTACTTTTGCTATGTGGGAAGCAACGGTTCAGTTTCTGAATCTAGTTTCACACCTGTAGTTTTCAGACTTCTACACGCCTGTATTTCCCCACAAGGCTCTACCCCAAGCTTACATGCTGACAGTTTTACAGGTGTGAATTGAGTGTCACCTGTGACAAACAGCCAAGGAAGAGGATCTGCAGATATCAGAGGGCACCCTCTTGTCCCCCAGGCCTTCCAAAGAATCTTTGAAATGGAAGGTTGCACCCCGGGTAACTCCAACACCTACGTGCAGGCTGTGCACAGAGCACCGGGGGATGCCTCCGCAGCTGGGCCTTGTGCAAGCACCCCTGAGGTACAGCGCACGAGGAGAGAACAGGGCCACAGCTCCGTACCTGTACAGCTGTTTATTCATATTCAAAGAGAAATCTGATGAACGGGTATCTGATTCAGTATAGGGCTTACCCTTATATAATTGGATACTGCACTAGATTCAATAGAGAACACGGATTTGCTTTTAATGGTGTGACATCTAGTTTTCATTAGAATCATATTTTACAATCATATATGCTTTTCAGCACCTAATTATTCCAGTGAACTTTGCCAGAATGGCTTCCTAGACCTCTAAGCCTGCACAAAGTTAACTACAAAACAGAAAAAAAGTCAGCGATGCATAAGTAGGGCTAGTGTTCTGCAAACAACATACAAAATTTTCATAAAGAAAATTCCTTACCTCGAAATACATACTTTGAGAAAAATATGGGGTTTGTATTTAACTGCATATTCATTATCTGAATATATATCTTAAATGGAGGGACTTTTACATAGACTGTAAAACATACAACACCCTCAGAGCTGATTTTTTGCAAAATATATATATAAATCAGATGCACACATCCAATGTCTTCATTTGTACGTAAATAAATCTTTCACAAGCAGAACAGTTTGAGGTACTACAGAGACTATGAACTAGCCGTAAACCATGACTATTGCATCTGAAAAATCACCTGCTTTGTGACCTTGTACAAATTCTCAGTTTCCTTATCCATGAAAGGGGGGAAATTACACCCAGGCCACTAAGAGGAACAAAATTAGGGGCTTGCTTTAAGGAGGACAGATCTGGATCAAACCTGGGCGCTTTGGAAAATGGCATCCCTACATTCATGGGCACCAACATGGTCTTTGGAAAATGCGTTTTATAATAGGATCCAAACAAACTGTTGGTGATGTGGAGGTAAGGAAGGACTGATCACTACAGTGGAGGGCAAGGAAAGAGCCCCTCCCTAGGCATTGTGTCTCAGCAAAGAAAGAAGGGACTGAAAATGCTTCTCTTTAAAGCCACAGAAACAGAGAGCCAGCAAGCCCATGGAAGTTGGGATAAAGGGACCTTATAATTCAGTTGATGTAATACCTTCAAACAAACAAACAAACAAACAAAGGTTGTGGGGTGGGAGGAGAGAAACAGTACTCCTATACCTTTTAAAATGCCTTTTATTTAATTTATGATGCTCCCAGTGAGCTTTAACTCCTTTCAAGTCTTCTAGTCCTATCTAGACCATAAGTTGAACAGAGGAAAACGGTCAATTCAGAATTAACTGTGATTGCTAGAAATGGTAACCTTATAGAAGGCTTTGATCATACGGCTGACGGAGTACTAGAATTGCACCCAGGAACGTACAGTTTGATCTTCAGTTAAATGGCCAGGAAACACGGACCATGGAAAAGGAACACAAACACAAAAATGATTTGGAACTGAAACCCAGGTTCACAGCTAAAGGTATTTTATTTCTAGAACCTGAAGTGGAATTGAGTCAGGTGTTTGGCTTCTGCATTACCTCAGCAGTTAGAAATAAAGAGAGATGAAAACCAGCTGATACTGTGTGGAAGGTCATACACAAAGCTGGCACGCTAATTGCCATGATATGCATGACAGCTGCCTTTGCATGCCGGGGGCTGACCTTCTGGACATCACAAAGGCATCCTAAAGGGTTTAACTGAGGTATAATCTCAAAATAGCAGAAAAGTGAATCTTTATTTAATGATTCGCCCAACAGAAGCAAAAAGACCAAATCAAGGAAGTAAATAACTAAGTGGAATAGTGAATAAGTAAAACTTTGCATTTATCAAAAATAACTTTGAAAAGATAAGAGCAATGCTCTAATGAGAAAAATACATTAGATTTCATTTAGTATTTGAGTAGTTTATAATGCAATTGACCTAGTAAGGGGAGAGCATATTGATAGGCACCTAAGCGACAGAATTAGACGTACACAGACATGTAGATGTAAGAGCACCAAAGCACTATACGTTGTTAGTGATATGTATGTTCTGCTTGGGCATAAATATTTATATGCACTAAGGGAAATTCACCTTTTTCAAGATCAAAATGCTGCCACAGGCCACGCTTTCTCCGAACATCAGAGAATCTATTTCAAATCTTTCTGACACGCTTTGCACACCTCTTCCCCCAGCAGCTGTTCCCTTTGTACCCCGGGCCCAGTTAAAACACAACAGGAGATCCCCCGAGTTTCGCAGGCGTGAAACATCTCGGCGAGGTTCCTCCAGGCCACCTCCTGTGCGGGGAGCGCTGCCCAGCAGCGTGGCCACGGGGGCCCCATCCCGCTCGGTACGGTGCTGGCCCGGTACGGTGCTCCCCGCGGCCACTCTCCACCTCTGGCAGCTCCCGGCAGGCACCGAGGGGTCAGTGTCTCAGGGCTGCCCTGCCTGGCCCTGGAAACGCGGGTTTGCTGCTGCTGCCCCACCACGGTGCGCAGGTGCTTGCCTAAACCGCCTGAGAATACGCTCCAGGGGGTGCGTCAAGGAGTGGCTTTACAGAGCAGCACCGATACAGGGAAGGAAAGCCCCACAGCTGCAGCGACCTGTTCATAATCCTAGAACTGGTGAAGGAACTTCACGTTGCGCAGTTCTGTAGTGAGTAATGGATGAGATTCTAGCGGGACAGGTCTGGCCTTTCACCGAGTGCATAATCTTAGAACTTAGTAACAAACTTCTGTAGAACGTTGATTAATATTATACAGTGTAGCTACTTCTCCAGTTCAAAGAAATTTAAAAATCAATTGAGCGTCTTACCTGGTTTCAGGTGAGCAAATGGAATTTCCCCTGTTAAGAGCTCCCAGAGGCACAAAGCGTAGCTGAAAACATCGGCTTTTATGGTGTACCTTGTACACTGAGTGAACACCTCGGGGGCCATCCAGCGGAGGTTCTGCACATCAGGAAACACCAATATGTTAATAGCATTTATTTCCGCATACATGCATCTTTCCCTGTATTTGTATCTTTGCTTTCCTTTCTTCTCTCATTTCCTTGTCTTCATCGCTCCATAAAATAACTTGTAAATTTGCCAGGAAAAGCTTTCACCTAGCTTGCAAGATTTAGGCAGCGCATTGCTGCATGCTGTACACAGCAACATTAGTATGGTAGCTGTCTCAACCCCACAAAGCCAGACCGATCAGGCTCCAGACACCAGAGTAGTGCTCGAATAAGAGCAGAACACCCAGCCTCACAGTCTGGAGGGCACAGCATAAGGTGTGAGGGTGCCAGATGATACCAATTAACTACTACTCCAGCTGCAAGATGTTAAAACTAACGACAGCGGCATGGGGTTGCTGCCTCCTCTCTTGGGATCTCCCTGCTTCCTGCAGAAGTCCAGTTCTGAGGCCACCTCACCAGCAGCCAGCCCCTCGCTGGAGCGATGAGTTCAGGTGTTTGTGCAGATTCCTTGCACCTCAGTAATGTTTCTTGTTACCCAGGAACCTCCACCCTTTAGAAGACAGCCCTTCTCAGTGAGACGTCCTGGATCGCCAGCAGGGCCCAGGCCCGCAGCAGCACTGGCTCCTCACACAGTGGGTGTGTGTTACAATCTGTTAGAAAGGTGATTGCCAAACCCGGGCTCTAGCATCACCCAACCTATTCCACAATTAGTTGTTATGATGACGCAGACTTTCAGGGCCGAGGACTGACATGCAGAATGCATCTGGACCCAAACTCATGAAGACAACACCGCTGTCATGTAAAGCTGAGCCTGTGAACGATAGGCTTGTACTGCAGAAAGGATCGCTGAAAGAAAATCAGTGTCAAATAACTAATTCCCTACGAGAAATAGGAGCCACCTGCCAGCAACATGTGTATGTAAGTGGGGAAGGGTGGATTAAAAGAAGGACATTTTACTAAGGATTTTGGGGGTAACAGGGCTCCCAAGACAAGCTTATAAAGCATTATTTTCTGTTACAGGTATTATATGCTCACTCATCTCTGTTATTAAAGAGGCTTAAAGAAAGAAAAAAACCACCCAAAGAAACATTAAGAGAGAGAAAATACTGTACCAGTTCATCTTTTCCAACAAAAATATTTCTAATGTCATTTTCTCCTAAACTGAGTTTGCCTGTGTATTTTATACTAATGATATGGAACAAAACAAGAAACAAACCCCAGGTTGTTTTGTCATATTGTCTTCATCCAGGGACTGCAAAAATCTAGATTCTGAAACACATAGAACAAAAAAATAAATTACTGTCAAGCCAATACAGATACCCACATTATTATACAAAAGTCTGGGTAAAAAGTGTTTTTGTTTTATTTTTTTTTTAAATAACCCTGGGGTTTTGAGAGTCCAGGAGAACTGGAATAACTGTTTTTCAACAAGGGTGTGTACAAACAATGAAGCTTCTGAAACCTGCATGCCAAATTCAGCACTGGCATAAATCTACAAAGCTCCATCAGCATTAATAGCAGTTTACATCAGCTGGGGATCCAGCTCGGAGTTTGTGACTTCATGGTTATCTGTGCTGGTTAATACAGCTGTGTCTAGATTTACAACAAACCGTCACTGAGCCCTGCGTTAAAATGCAATCCCACAGAAGCCTGTCAGTCTTGCTTAATGCCAGAAAAGCAGCACACGTAAAAATGAGAGGATCTTGCATGAGTGTAATGAAGGTGGTAGGTCCTACATTTTGTGATGCATAAACAAGTCCCCGAGCAGGACTTAGATGCCTTTGACGTATCAGCGAGATACAGTCGAGCGTGCACCTGTATGAATGAGAGTGTTGTCAGCAGCCGCCCCGAGGAGCAGCTACTCGCATGTGGTCCAGGGCCCGCGCTGTCTCCTTGCTTCAGCAGGCAGGGCAGCAGCCCTGGGAGCCCCCAGCCACGGACGTGCTGCCACCCCCCTCCTCCTGACTTAAGCTGACGTTCACGCGTGTCTGCTGACCGCATCCGTGGTGGTGCTGCCCAGGGACAGCGGCCGCGTCTTAAGCCAAGTAGTTCCTGGGGAGTGAGGTCAAGCCCAGCTCCCTGTACTCTACCCTTGCACCAGGAGTGCGTGCCCGGGGAGCTTGACTGATGACACCAGGACAGAGCACGAAATACAGATTCATACCATATAGGCTAGCCTAATTTTGAACACAAAGTTACTGAGGTCCATAACCAGCGACTTTCTGCTCTTTTAACTGCAATGGAAGAAGCCTGTCCGACTGCTGTGGGGCTTGGCTGCCAACAGGCAGACTTCCACAGTAACACCGTCCTCAGATCCCGAGAGCTTGCCATGAGAGACGAGGGCACATCTTTTATTACAGGCTTTTTCACTTCACTTCGTCCTCCAACCTACTGCTAGAACTTAACCTGAGCTGCATCCATCTCACCACCATCTGGGCTTCCTTCTCAGATAAACAGTGGGGTGCTCCACAGCACCTGCTAACTAAGGTGAGGCAAAAAATAGGGGTTTTTTATCCTGAAAAACCTTTTGTGTCCTCTCATAATAACAAAATGAAGAGCAACATCCTCAGCCTTGTCTTAGCCAGCACATGTTTAGTTTTAGAGAATTCGAGGTTAATTTATAAGTGTTTCATAAAAACTCCTTACCTCCAAAATCAGCAACAACTGCATGACCATCCTCATACAGGAGAATATTGTGACTAGGGGGGGAAAAAATATTATTGGTAATTGTTTAATAGTGCCTTAAAGATGGTTAAAATGTTACATTTTTTGGTTCACAGCTAAACTCTTGAGGAGTTAAAATCACCTGCTTACGTGGATAAATGTCTGTAAATAAACCACTTTTAGCTACATCTCATATTTATTGTTATAGAGTACATTAAACTAACTCTGAGAAGGCAAACCCAGTAGCTTCGTAAATGTGAATCACAGAACCACAGGCTGGTTTGGGTGGGAAGGGCCCTCAAAGCCCCCCCAGTGCCCCCCCCTGCCCCGGGCAGGGCCCCCTTCCCCCAGCCCAGGGGGCTTCCAGCCCCGTCCAACCTGGCCTTGAACCCTTCCAGGGAGGGGGCACCCACAGCTGCTCTGGGCACCCGGGGCCAGCGCCTCACCCCCCGCACAGGGAACAATTTCTGCCTTACATCTCACCTAAATCTGCCCTTTTTCAATGCAAAACCGTCCCCCCTCGTCCTACCCCCACCCCCTGACCCAGAGTCCCCCCCCCCCTCTCCTGTCCCCCCTTTAAGCCCTGGGAGGCCGCTCGAAGGGCTCCCCGGAGCCTTCTCTTCTCCAGGCTGAACCCCCCCAACTCTCTCAGCCCGGCCCCCCAGGGGAGCTGCTCCAGCCCCCCCAGCATCTTCGTGGCCCTAATGAATTTCAGTTTCTAATCAATACCAGAGCAAAACAAGTTCTGTAATTAATTATAGATCAAGCATAACAGCTTTATTCAATACGTGCACTGAATCTCAGTGATGATGTGAAAAAGATGATACTTGAATATAAACACAGCAGTGGCCTTTAAATAAAATTACATGGATTGATTGTTTTCTCTTTTAAAGCTTGTAGTGGTAATTTCTAATTTATGCAGGTGTGTAGGAGGCAAGGAACTGATCTGAAGAGTCCATATAGAATGGGTCACTAGAAGCCATAAGAAAGCCATTAAGCTGGGAAAAAAAAAAAGATGCTATAATGGTAAGTCCTATTCAATTTAATAGTCACAGTTCATAATGCGAATGCTACTTTCATGAAACAAAGGTACTTTGTTTCTTGAAATATCTCCATTTGTTTATGAAAAGAAGACATGTCATTCGTCCTATAGCTTATCTCAGTGTCTAGGACAAAAGCTTCTCCCTGCTCACACTAATGGAGATTTTTTGGTCGCTAGAGGTAGGATTTCAGTTCTGCCCCCCATTCGTGTCCCCGTTCTACAGCGTCCCTTTTCATAACGCCTTTGAGGGCTGGCAGAGTACAGCTGGTGACGTGTGCTGGGTTACTCTGGACCTGAACTGAGTCTCAGGTAAAGCGCCAGATTTTCATCTGCTCAACAAGTCAGGAGCACTTAGTGTTTTTTCACTGTTTCACCTTATTGTCCCAGAAATGCATATTCCTTGTCATTGTCAATGGGTGTAATCGCAAGATTGTTGTTCCTTATTAGACATCAAAAGAATGACGTTTTTGCATTTAGCCGGAAAAATGACACTTGCAAAAATGACAGTGCACTTTGCCTGTGGTAGTGACATCTCCTTCCTGGGGTCCCGGGGAAAGTGGTCCGCAGGCTGCAGCCAGCACCCCGGGCTCTGGCGGCTGCACCCATGGAGGGTGGGGAGGGAGGACGTGGGGCGAGGCTGGTGCCCTGCGGAGAGCAGAGCCCGCGCTGCTCCGGGCCGGGGCTGGGGCACTGCTTCAACCCAGTGCCTGTACCCCCGCCTGTTCCCTGCCACCCTACAGCTCTGCCTGTACCCCCGCCTGTTCCCTGCCACCCTACAGCCGTGCCTGTACCCCTGCCTGTTCCCTGCCACCCTACAGCCGTGCCTGTACCCCCGCCTGTTCCCTGCCATCCTACAGCCGTGCCTGTACCCCTGCCTGTTCCCTGCCACCCTACAGCCGTGCCTGTACCCCCGCCTGTTCCCTGCCACCCTACAGCCGTGCCTGTACCTCTGCCTGTTCCCTGCCACCCTACAGCCGTGCCTGTACCCCCGCCTGTTCCCTGCCATCCTACAGCCGTGCCTGTACCTCCACCTGTTCTCAGGTGCTACAGCTGTACCTGTACCCCCGCCTGTTCCCAGGTGCTACACCTGGAACTGCCTCTGCACCATGGAAAAGGCCCCGGGCTTCAGGTGCACTGCAGCAGGTGAGGCTCCTGTTCACATCTTCCTGCTGAACAGTAGACAGCAAGAAATCCCAGAAAAATGTGATATTCATGTTAGACATATATGTTAGATTTTTATTTCAATATAAATTCTTCATCTTTGCTCCAGACAGTTTCTGAAGTTAGGAAGAAGGGAATAAATGCAGGAAAATTCTTGTTTGGTTAGCACATGTATGAGGCAATCTCTGTTGGGACATCTAGAGATCAGAGAAATCATTTATCAAAAATAATTACTTGTATTGACACCTATCAAAGTGTTTTGATTTCTGTGAAATCTTTGAAACCATAGCAACTGCAGACTTCAGTGAATGTAAAGGATTGGATAACCAGGACTTTACCTTAGATTGTCAGCAGAGATATTTCAAGGCTTAAAGTTAAATCTACTGGATTTGTCCTAAAACTACTAGAACCAAAGAGGTGAATTATGAGATTTGTGTGGTGGTTTAAACCCATTTATTGAAGGTAATGTGAAGAAAATTCAGCTCTATTTACATATTATTTGTTCAAAGACAGTGAGGCATATGGATAATGATGGGGAGGAAATCTAACCCTACATATGCATCCTATTAATTAGAGGATTTAAAAAAATAAGCTTCCAACTATGAATAAAATAACTACCAAAAGATTTCTACATAAAACTATAAATATTTCTTAGTCATTTTATAAAAGCATCCTCTTGTGAGCAGGTAGGCAGGAGACCAGCAAACCAAACCAAACTAAAATAGAGTATTTCTAACACTGAAACTGTGAAAAGGAAGATATTCAGATTAGATAAGAACCGAATGGGCATTTATTACACATTTTCACCTTGATGTCTTCAAATAACAGAAAAAAGTAGCATTACTCCTGGAAAACAATGAATTCTCATTTGGGGGCACTTTATTCTTGGACTTGGATTGAACAGATAAAAGACTAGAAGATACAAGTGAGAAACGTATCTACTCCTGAATTCTGGAGATTTAAAGTAGATTAAAGGTAAGTGAACAAGGCAGAAGTTCCCAGCCGAGCAAGCTGAATATCTGCTCTGGAGGGATGCTCAGCCTGAACTAATTAGCCCTCCTTAGGGGCAGGGATAAGTCTTCTGGGCAGACTGCCATGACAACATGCCAATGCTTTTAGCTCAGGATTGGTATTCTCAGGCAGGAGTAGGGGTATGTGATTGGTACTGCTGTACCAGCTCACCTGCAACTAGCTCAAGTATCTTTCACATGGGGTAGCATATGGGAATCCCTTCTGTTGACTTGGAAATTAATGTTTGAAACAATATGTGCTGATAGAAAGTAAAATATTGAGGGTGAGTCTCCATAAACTTTACTGCTTAAGCAGAATGGAAATAAGAAGAAATTCTGGCTGTGTAGGAACTTATGGGGGGAAACCCCATCCCTATGTATTTGGCACTTCCAGGGAGACTTCAACTAATATATCAGAGGACTTGGAACCAGTCCGAGGATCAACAGGTCTCTGTCTATACATACAGTGACAGTTGGAGGGCTTCAGCATCTAGAGCTGTGGCACTATTCCAACCCATGCAGTGGGGAAGCAGATATACAAACTGTGCTCAGAGGTGACTGGCATTTACAATGAATACCCGACTTACATTTAGGATGAGGAGGGAAGGCTGTCTTCCTCAGAGCAACATATAGAACTTAAAGCAATGGCTCCTCTAAAGTCACTGCAATCATTGTGCCTTGGTTGAAGCTCATGGCTCAAGACCCTCACTTCCCCAGCACCACCTGGCAGCTGGATGGCCACTGCCTGCAGAAAGGTGCTCTGGATTTCGGAGGTTGAGACCACCGTCGAGAGGAAGGGCTGCGGAGGAAGTGAGTGTGCCAGCATGGGTAGCACAGACAGCAGCTCCACCACGGCAATAAAAACAGAGTTGGTCTGAATTTTATCCATATTTAGGAGCAGAGATTCCGAGATGCTGCAGGCTGAATTCAAGTTATGGTACTGTAAAGATGCCCATATGTACAGTCCATAGTGTACACCGGGGACACTCTGGTTCTCTGCCTGTCCAGGCACTGCTGAACACTCTGTTCTCTCAGAATTTTATTTTCTTTTCATTTGAAACCCTAAAAGAAGAGGACCCTATATTCTCCCTGAAGCTATCGATGTGCTACAGATACTTAAGCAAGTGACTTCCAAGCCCTCGGCTCTGTCTCCCTGATGAATGTCGTACAGGAAAAGATTCAGAGCTATTGGGCAGCTGGAACTTGCTTCCCTCCAAAAAGGACACAGTAAAACTCTTGTTCAGAGGTATCTCGTTCCTTAACAGTTACTAAAAGGATACTGCCATAACCCAAATAGCTGTAATCTCTTGTCTCTGCCGTACTCCATAGTCTGAGAGTAAACAAAGAGCTATCAAATTAAGCATGCAACATCAATCTATAACAAATTAAACTTAACCTTTCCAGCTCTGCCTCAGATCTTAGTTATCATTTTGCAATTTCATCAAAAACCAGAACTGAAAAATATAGAAATGAGATTTCATTTCTTAAGTAAGCAGCAACTGATAACTGAAATTTACCGAGGCGTTTCAAAGTGAAAGTCTAATTACAGTCAGGTTCTTGTATCATCTGTATCTCAATAGAATACCTCATCTCTCACTGTTCCTGTTTCCACGAGAGACCTGTGAGAATTGCACAGGTGATTTTCTATAACTCTGCTCCTCGCTGCCTTACTTTGTAAGATCACCTTTGCAGGAGAGAGCGGGCCGGGCTCCACACTGCTTGTCACGGGAGGAGCAGCAACCACTGACCTTCGCACGGCTCGGGCGGGCGTGGGGCTCACCCTGGGCCACCGGCCGCCCCCTCCTCGTCCCGCCGGGGCTGC